GTCCAATCAGAACATTGCCGACCATGGCTCTCCACAATTTCCTGTCCTTTGTAGCTCTTAGTAATTTTTTTTTATATCGTTATCTCTCCTAACCCCTGTTCTGTCATCCATTTTACACAAGCTCGTTAGGTAAAGTAATGCGCTGCTTTCGTCTCTCCCTCTTGTGAGTGTTAAATTTTCTAAGCCTCTTTTCCCATTATGTGCCTTAGAAATATCAACTTTCTCTTTCTGATGTTAAGTAGAAGTGTCCTTTTCGTTTCAGTTTTCTACAAAACTTCGTCATTGCTCACATATTCTCATTATCCTTCTGTAGAACGACGTTTTTATTGCTTCGAGTCACTTCTTCATCTATGAGGAGATTGACCTGCATTGAATACCATATATGTTTACCGATATTACGTAAAACTTAAGTGTTCTCTTCTTCGTTTCGAACGTGATTTTCCTGTTGCTTTATATTTTACTTAGCTTCAGAACCACATTACTGTTGACCCAAGAGTGCTGAACTATCATTCAATGTCTGGTTTCTTGCATCGCAATGAATGCTGGACAAACTCTTCACAAATGAAGAAAGACTTTAGCCCAAATCTTTGAAGCAATCTTGAGATTAAATGAACCGAGCGTTGGACGAATGAGAAAGGTTTACTAGAAGTAGGAAACTGAAAAGGCACTGCTGCTAACATCCTGCAAGTGAATTACAATTTCTGGGAAACGTAATGAGTAAAGAATTTGACACTCACCAGTCACACCAGAGGCAAGAGAAGTAGAATAGCCCGAGATCTTGAAAAGTTCGAGGAATTAGAGTAGACAGTCCATTTTACTTTAAACAGTATTTATTTCGTCTACTGGTCCGCACACACGCGAAGAAATAAATACAATTTAAAATAAAACGGAAATAAATACAGTTTATTGTATTTGAGAAGACGCTTCGTTTTATTCCAAGCCGAATTTCTTCGCAAATGTTTTAGCCGTTGTACGCTCCGGCCTTCTTTGGGTGGTTGGAATTTCGAACTGAACCCTTTATTTCGCTCACTGGGGTAGACTGTTCTAGTTCCATGTGCCATGTTTAATGGATGTCAGTTATCAGTTATCTACTGTTAATTCCCCTCTGAAAGTTCTCCACTGCCTTAACCGGGTATTGAACTCACACTCTTTGGGTTCTGTCACTGGATCTAACGCACAGTGGATAAAGGAGAGTGTCTCATTGCGCCTTCTCAGGCTAACATTTTCGGCTGAGATGAAGTGGGAAAATTATATCGAATCCGTTGCTAGGTGTGCTACTAAGAAAGTTGGTTCACTGTGTTGGACTAGACAATTTTTCTCTTCTGAATCTATCTTGCGTTTCTATAAGTCTACCATTCGTCCAGGTCTTAAATATTTCGGTCACATATGGTCCGTTGCTCCTGCTTTATATTTAGGGATTCTTGATGAAATCCCAAAACGAATCTGCAGTATTATTAGTCCTCATCTGACATCTCAGCCTCAGTCAGTTTCCCGCTGCCGTAAGGTGGTTTCCCTTTGCCTTTTCTGTAAATACTTTCATGGTAATTTTTCATACCAAGCTCTTTGCTATGGTACCTAGACGTTATGAATTTACTCGCAGTACTAGATTAGCAACAAGGTCCCCAACGGTTTACAGTTGTGTTGGCTAGATGTAACCGTAAGTTCTATGCTAACAGTTTATTTCCTCGCACTTCTCGCTTGTGGAACTCTCTTCCGGCTTCTTGCTTTCCACTTCGATCTTCAATAATTTACATGCCAATCGTTATCTATTGTATTCCTGATTACTCATCTATCGATCTCGCTCCTAGATAATGTTTCTGTTTTCTAATTCTCACACTTAGTAACCACTTGTGTCTTAGTGACTTTACTGCCTTATATAGGGTGGGGGTCGATTAAAAAATGTGTGTCTGTCTACAAATAGCTGTAGAAACCTGATCACGCAAGTTTTAATCCCCGTGTCTTAATCTAATCTATTTTATATTCATCAAGGATTGTTTATACTTATTCGAGAAAGGCAGGTGTGTGTATGAGTTCGTAAATGAGTTTAAAATGTGTGTGATATCTTGAAGGTTGTTTGTGCGCGAATTTGCTATAAACAACCCACCTATATCTGTGGAAACACCTGTGTTTTTATTTTTTGTATTTTTTTTTCTAAACGAGATAACCTCGCAAACAGAGGTCGTTAGTGTTTTGATGAGCTTCGGACTGTTTAATTATGACAGACAATACGTTGCTCTGACCCTTGTCGCCTGTGTAGGATGGCATTGAGACGCACGGCTATCACTTCAAGGAAAGGTGCATTTCATTTAAATAAATAAGACCAGGACTCTTGTTCTTCGGGAGAGTCACGTTGATACGGACGCCATTTCTGCTATCGGGCTCACGAAATATCTGGTTTCATTTTCAAGAGATAAGCCGTCATTTGTCTGGGCGTCTTGTGTCGCGTGATCGATCGTGCTGAAGCCTGTCTCTCAGACTATTATTTTCGTGTAGAGTGTTCGATCCCTGGTCGATTCTTAGACTAAGATGGTCGTGAAGTTATTAGGTTCGTAAAACATTCCGATCAGTGGGACATTATATGCAGTGTAACCACGGCATTTTAATTTGCCTAACAGCTGACAAATCAATCGACACAAATAGCTGACTGCAGAATAGTTATCAGGATATATGAATGGGTAAAAATGTTATATTGGGAATTGTGAAAGCACTCTAGCTTGACTGTGGGGACCAACAGTATACACACAGACCAGTTGTATTACTAAATAATAAATAAAAGTAACATCCACTCAGCCCCTTCTTATGGTGAAATAAACCAGCTGGAGGATTAAGACGATACAAAAGACAAATTCTGTTGGCATCTGCGTTGATACTGAGGAAGGTGCGTGTGAAATGTATGAAATAAAAATTATTTTTTCTTATATTCTTTTGCACACACACAGTAACCCCTTGAATCTTAACGGCTATATTATCTTCCTTAGGATGAAATGGTTTTAAAAAGAAGTTTTTTTTTTTTTGTACTCAATAATAAAAATAAACTAGCAGCATGGCCCGGCGTTGCCTGTGCTTGATTCAAACATCGTACGACTCGTACAGCAATCACTATCAGTTGACTTAAAATATTTTTCCCTTCTTTGCCTTTAAAGGAGTGCCCTTTTCCGTGCTGATGTTGCTACATGACTTACTTCTTGCCTATTCCACACTGCGAATTTTTTCTAAGCTCTATACTAAACAATAAATCTGTTACGAAAAAAGAACTAAACAAAATGAACACAGAACGATCAGCTTTAAAAAAGGACTCGTAACTGGAAAAACCGAATAAATACTTTTTCACATCCAACCCAGTTCTGCGGAATAAGAATCAACGTTGAGTTTAAGCAAGCGAATGAGCCAATTGGAGTAAAGTGCCATGCAGATTTAAATTTTTCCCACTGGTGACGAATGCAGCTATCGATTTTTTTGCATGCTAGTTAACATTCGTGTCAGTCAGCTGTTGGCTCTTACACTGGCCAATAGTAACTTCCTGTCTATTCGTGGCAGCCAGCTATAGGCTCTCCCTCTGGCCAGTAGAAAATGGCCACAGACTACATGAAAACTGCCGTAGAAGCATGAAAAAAATCGATTATTTCCACTAGCGATGGGAGTTGGGAAATGCAAAGTCGGTTTTGGCCTTTCTGCCTACTTTGTGCATGTAAATTTTGGTGCAAATCCGTCGAAAATTGCGGCCGTGCATTCGTTATACACACACACACACACACACACACATCCTGCCTTTTATAGATAGAGATATGAATTAAAGCTGTTTAAAATTCTTATAATTACGAAACAAGAAGAGAATTATATTTGCATTTGAAGTTTAGTTTTTACATCATGCTGCGTGTTTCTTTCGTTATGTCCTGCCAATATCTCTTAAATAATGGACTATTCTGTTTTGATTGTGTGGAAAGAGGGGAAAAGACACTACTTGGTTTCAATGGGAAAGAAAGAAAGAAGTGTTTAACATCTGCCAATGCCTCCTAAATAATGGACTATTCCGTTTTGATCGAGGGGAAAAGACACTTGATGGTCCTTGGTTTCCGTGAGAATGAAAGAAAGTGTTTAATGTCTCCTGCCAGTACCTCATAAATAAGGGATGATTCCGTTTTAATAGCATGGAAAGAGGGGAAAAGACACTACTTGGTTGCAATGAGAAAGAAAGAAGTATTTAACATCTACCAATACCTCGTAAATAATGGACTATTCCGTTTTGATCGGTTGGATACACGGAAAAGACATATCAGAGATGCTACTTTATAATAAATGAAAGGAGATATAGAAATGTTTGTTTCAGTGAAATAGAAAAAGTTATTTCAATTATTTTCATTTTTACCCACTTCTTAACTGCCAGCATTCATAGTTTTGATAGTTATTTCAATATTTCGTCCAAGTTGTCCAGCTCAAATATTCACGATGCAATAGGGGAATTTCTACAGATATTTTATTGTCACAGAACTCGCCATGTGCTTAGCTTATTCAATCATTAACGTATAGATCGAAAATTTGACAACCGTGAAAATTTCTCTGGTATTTCTAGTTAAGCTAAACAAGGTCTTATTTGATTTTATCTTTTACTTTCTCTCTCTTCTTGTTAATTCATTTACTTGAATGTTATCAAAATTTTTAAGCGAAACGAACAGCTAGCAAAATTAGATTATGTCTAGATGATAAAACTTGACAACCTCTCCAAATTATTTTTAATCTCGACACTTCTAAATAATATCGTCTGTCTTATAAGGAAAAGAGATTAAAGTTAGCATGAAAATAAAAAGACTGACCGCTCTTGGCTTTGAATGTAACCTTTTAGACTGGCATAGTTTTTTTTGTTTTTTGTCTTTTCTTTCTTTTTCCCGCCCATTTAATGTATTTCTTTCGGTTTTACCGCGAAGCTCCGCTCTACCGCTTGCCGGACCACTGAGCCGAGGGCGTCTCTTGTCTATATATCTTATTGTTAAATAAAAGCTTCAATGCTTTCCCGATTTGTACTCTGTTCTCTCTTAAAACAAATCTATTCGCATTATTAAAGGCATAGCTAAGTATTAATCACAAATTAATTTTATCTCGTTTTAACAACTGACACCGATCTCGCGCTAAGAGAGAGGTCGGCTCTGAATCTATTTTTATCAACGTCCTTCCTCTTCAGAAAAGGGAAGTGGATTTTTGGACCACATCAATCTCCACCGCATATCGAAAAACAACCTCTTTCTCTTTCTTTCTTTTGGGATTCTTTCTCTCTCTCTCTCTCTCTCTTTACTCTTTCTTTTCATCTCATTCTTTGTACTTTATCACATCACTATACTTTTTTTTGTCTGTTTTTCCCCCCTCATCACATTTTGTTTTGTACTCCCCCACTCCCATCTCTTTCTTTGTACCCCCCATCTCTTTCTTTGTACTTTTTCCACTGATTTCTTTCTTTGTACTCTCCCCCTCATCTCTTGCTTTTCTTTGTACTCTCCCCCTCGTCTCTTTCTTGCTTTTCTTTGTACTCTCCCCCCTCGTTTCTTTTCTTTGTACTCTCCCCTCGTCTTTTCTTTTTACTTCTCCCCTCCCCTCGTCTCTTTCTTGCTTTTCTTTGTACTGTTTTCTTTATCGCTTTTGCTAGACTTCTATATTTTTATGATTTGTGTCTATTTTCCCTCTCTATCTTCCGTGCTTATTTTCCAATGTTCGAGCTTTTTACTTTCTTTCTTGTTTCTTTTATCTTTCTTTTTCTTTTTGCTTTGCTTTTTCTTTCTTCTTTTTGCTTTTCTTTTTGTTTTTCTTTTTGCTTTCTTTCTTTTTTAGCTTTATTATTTCTCCTCTTCTTCCTCGTCTCCGCTCACGACTCTCTCTCCTTCATTCTTTTAACTTTCTATCCCCGACCCCAACACTTTTTTGAATCCCCTCGTCAACCCCCCCCCCCCTCCACTCTTCGTCAACCCTTTAGCCACCAATTGACATGGTCGTCATTCTCACCAACAGCAATGTTTTCACAGCCACTGGCGAACACAACTATTATTTTCTGCTTGACGGTTGTCATTGTCCTGGCAAAAGGGTTGCCACGTAGGTACACACAGCCGGGATATAAACAACAAACAGCCCTAAATCTATACCGTCTACCAGCTTTTTACGTTTCTTCGCTCGAATCCCCCCCCACCCGGCGCTCGACAAAAGCCTGCTGAAGTGGCTTCCCTTCTATTTTTACAATAATAAGATCCATGTTTTCGACGCCTATCCTGCCGTGAGTCTATCATTTAGTCATTTTATATATAGAGTGCCTCTTACCTGCATAAAAGCTATACACACTTTAGTTGAAGGCAGACTGTGGTTGTTAACTGAAAGTTAATTAAGCACTTTCAAAAGAATGAATAACGTATCTCTTGCACGATAATTGTTTTCCAGTGAAGGGGGAAATGTATTTGAAATTTAACTTTAAATTTTGTAAAACGTATAATAATAACTACTACTACTACTTATGAATCCGCCAGCTCAAGATATCTCGAACTTATTTTGGCTATCGGCTCCGGATTCATAGCAAAAACATATTAAGACCCCCCCCCCGCGCTCTTTGATTTATCCCCTTTATTGGTAAGCAAGGCAAATGAAAAACTAAGAAACATACATTATTGAATATTAAGTACAAATTAATATGAGTAAAATAAGATAATAATGTTCGCTATTTAATACTAGCAATTAGTATACATGAAATTATATCATTTAACGTATATCAACTTTAAAAGAATGTTCGGCAACAAAATTCTCAATATTTGACTACAGCTGTAATTACACACACACACACACACATTATATATATATATATATAGAGAGAGAGAGAGAGAGAGAAATATTGGGGGGAAAACTGTATGACAAAGTGGCAAATAGTTTTTGTGTGAGGCGTTTCGTCCTTCATCGAACTAAGTATGATACGGTGATGCAATTACACATGCACAGGAACGCGCGCATATATATGACATTTTTATGTTTATACATTCTATTTATAGATAGAAATATTTAAGTAAATGCTCTGTTTATAATAAACAGTATTAAACATTTACCGGCCTGAATGTCCGAGAAATTTTCATAGAAAATATTCGTCCTCCGAGAGGAATCGAACCTGTATCCTATAGGGAACCGGTATATAGCCTGACGTGCCTTTTAACCGATTAGCCCACAGAGAAGCGTTCGGTTAGCATTTTACTGTCTTTAAACAGCAATCTTCCATGATTCTCTCACGTACATTCATATCTGCTATATGACGGTTCCTGTATAGGATGCACGTTCGATTCCTATCGGAGGACTAATATTTTATATGAAAATTTCTCGGATATTCAGGCCGGTAAATGTTGTTTAATACTGTTTATTATAAACAGAGGATTTACTTAAATATTTGTATCTATAAAAAGAATGTATAAACATAAAAATGTCTTAAAATAATTGTCGGACTTTGTCTATTTCATAATATATATATATGTATATATATAAAACCTATGCAAGGCTGCGTTGAAGGTGGACGTAGGAGAGGATATTAATGCAAAAGCTGATTGTCCAATGTTAAGCAATGAACGGGTATGACTATATCAGAATTGCTGATGGCTACCGTTGATAGACCATTGTAAAAGAGATTTATTAGGTTGGTGCAAAAATAATGACGTAATAATGTCGTTTTTTGACCTTAAAAAATACGTCAAAAAACGACATTATTACGTCATTATTTTTGCACCAACCTAATAATATGGTTTCCGCATTCGGATCCCCCACCACGATTACAAAAGTCAATGTGATGATGATGATTTACATTTGGTATCTACTGTCAGTACTGTACACTGACATCGTCCTTGGCGGAGTTTGTTGCCGAGTAATGTGGAACCCATGGACATTTCCACCTGTGTGAAAGGAGTCCTATGTTGGATGTGATCAGACGTTCGCAGCCACCGTATGGTAGGGTAGGAGGGTTTGGGAGTAGAAGTCTTTGAGCAGGAACGCCTTGGCTGCGAATTGTTTGAGGTGATCGATAGGTCTCCACTCCATGGTTCGCACTGACACCATCCGCTTGCGGGAAGCCAGGGCTTGACAGGCAGGTTCATGATAACAGCTTCGATCAGGAAGCCGACTTGTTCTCGTATGTAGAACGTTACCTTGACCACCTACTGACCGGACGTCATATCATGCTTAGTCTAGTCCCTTCTTTGAATTCTCGAGACGGCATTGTATTCAGGTTTCCCGAGATGCGTAAGTCCCAACAAAGAAATACATATCCGCCCCACACACACACAAATTTTAATTGTATCCCTTTTTTGCCTTTGCCCCCCTCCCTCTCTCTCTCTCTCTCTCTGAGATGAAGTATTATAATCATTTATTATTTAATTATTCGGACCGTTATCCTCATCTTCATTGCCATATTGACAACGTTTTGGCCGTCGTACGCTCCGGCCTTCTTCAGGTAATTGTAATTTCGAACCGAACCCTTTCTTCTATTTTAAGTATTCTATTCATATCGATCAGTCTATTTCTCTCTCTCTCTCTCTCTATTTATGTTCATATCCATCTCTCTGAGATGAGGTATTGTGATTACTTGCATTATTTACATTATTCGGACTGTTATCCTCATCTTCATTGCCATATTCACAACGTTTCGGTCGTTGTAAGCCCTGGTCTTCTTCAGGTGATTGGAATTTCGAACCGAACCTTTTATTTCCTTCACCGGTGTATATTGTTCTAGTTCCACGTGCCAAGCCTCTTCCGCATGTCTTAGTTTTTCCCTTTAAATCAGCTCTCAAAGTTTTTTGGTTCGCCACTGCTGTGTCCTGGTATTGAACTCACAACTCTTTGGGTCTAGTCACTGGATCTAACCAACGTCTTTATCAATTGGGCCATGTGAAGAATTCCGGAGCGTACAGCGGCCGAAACGTTATGAATATGGCGATGAAGATGAGGATAAAAAGTCTGAATAATGTAAATAATATACATGACCTCTTTTCCATGTGTATGTTTCAAAAATCTTATTCGTTATGGAAATTAAATGATAATATTGTAGTTTTGGGTGGACCCCACACTTTGTCTCCTGGTAAACACCCACACACGTTTATATATATATATATATATATATATATATATATATACACACACACACACACCTAGTCTGCTACTGATTATTGGCTATAATTTTTTGCATGGTTCAGAAGATAACTTTAAATGTACAGTTGTTGATTAAGCGCCTCTCGAAAACAAATTCCTTTGAATAAGCGCCTCCTTTCCTTAGGTTGGATCTGTTTATTCAGCAAAGAACGCTTATTAGCCTTTACTCTGGAACATTTATTTAGCAGGGGGCGTTAAATCGGCGTGGGTTATTAGTTCAGTCATTTACGGTAACTAGGGAGTAGCTATTTACATTATTGTCGGCATATTTATTACAACGTTTCGGCCGTTGTACGCTCCGGCCTTCTTCAGGTGGTTGTCGAACTGAACCCTTTATTTCGATCACTGGGGTAGACTGTTCTAGTTCCACGTGCCATGTCTAATGGATGTCAGTTATCAGATATCTCCTGTTAATTCCCCTTTCCAAGTTCTCCATTGAGCTCACACTCTTTGGGTCCTGTCACTTGATCTAAGCAACGCCTTTATCCAGTGTGCCATGTGTCCTCGAGGAACTAGGACAGTCTACCCCAGTGAGCGAAATAAAGGGCTCAGTTCGACATCTCAATCATCTGAAGAAGACCGGAGCGTACAACGGCCGAAACGTTGTGATAAACATGGCGATATAGATGAGGACAATAGTCCGAATAATGTAAATAGTGTACATAATACCTCATCTCAGAAATATAGACAGATACTGAAAGGCCGAAACGTTGTAATAAATATGGTGACAAAGATGAGGACAATAGTCCGAATAATGTAAATAATGTACATAATACCTCATCTCAGAAATATAGATCGGGAGTAGCTGTTTTGCAATATATTTGTTATTGTCATTATTTACGTGTATTGTGCCTCATTTTCAGTGACACCAATCATGTGCTGTAACCACATTATCCTGTAAAGAAAGACTGAAAAACGGAATTATGAAATTGATTTTACATAGTACACTAATATTTTTATTGCCGAGACGTTAATAATAAAATTAATTATAGTCGTATATACTGCACGGTTTCAAACGGTAATTGTTGCTTAAAAATATATTTCCTTATGGTGAGTTTTGCTTTATTAATTTAAAAAAAAATCCGTTCGACAGGAAAACAGCGAATTTAAGTGATGTAAACGAAAGTGTTTGATTTGTCTATGGGCCTACGGTCTTTGCCACATTGCTATCAATTTTATAAATTTGTATACTTTTTTAAAAAAAATGTCCGCTCTAGCTAGGCATTGTGCTTTAAACAGACAGATCTAGTGATGATACTTTTTAATAAGCAAAGTCTGTGCTTAAAAAAAAAAAAAGGAGGAAAAAGCCTTAGGCTGGCCCAAATCTCTTTCTAAACCGGGATAGCATTTACCCAAATAGAAGGGCGAGTGTGTACCATTGGATGCAATCGTATTGGTTTATATTAGTGTCTTCTAGATGGATAACTTAACAAAGACTCTAGCACTCCCAGTGAGCTAAGTAGCTCATCGTCCTAATTTACAGGTGACAGATCGATTTGACCGAAACAGAAACTATTATTAAGTCAGAGTGGACGAGAGAGTAATGGCAAATAAGGGGTGAACCTTGACTCCACAGAACACCTGAGTAGGAGTTTCGTCACCGGTTACAGTTAACCTTTATATATATATATATATATATATATATATATATAGCCAGATCGTCGAGTTTATAGTTGGTGAGCATTTTTATAGAAAAGCTTAATTGTATTATTTTTGCCAGTCTTTTTTTCTGTATTATTATGTACGTTAGAATGGTAATGTTTTATATGTTGGTCTAATTCATTGGGCAAATTGTTTTTTATCAGTGTTTGTTTCATATAATCTCCAAATGGAATAAAAATTCACAGTTCGTAGGATTTACTTTTTTAAGAAAAGTGCTCAATACAAAGTAGAGCAAAATATTACTATAATATATAAGTTACAATAAAACATTTTACATCGCTACACAAAAACTTTCATGTTTCCGTACTAAGATGGTACTTAGATAACTAATGCTAAAAATAATTTATCGTTTTTACCACAAGTTATTTAACATCGCCTGAAGTAC